GCGCACCGCACCCCACCCCCCGAATAGCCTATTGTCAACATAATTATGGAGTGTGATTTATTTTCAACTCAAAATATCTTCAAACTAACGAAATATAAAGTTATTAATGAAGAAAACTCGTCTGGATAACAGCAGACTGGCTGCTCGTAAAATATACGACAGGTCTGGACCACTCGTAAATTTTGTTTAACCTGATCAACAACCACCTAAAACTTGTAAAGAGCAAAGGATTTTTTTTACCTGCTGCCCCTCTGTAAACTCATCCAACATGAAAAGAACATCTTTTTTCCAGGTACCAATAGTTCCTTCTGCTAACACCCCTTCTGAGGCCCCGTGTCCCGTGTAGTCAAACCTAAAAACAGTTTAAACAGAGCAGTGAATCCCCGTGAGTATCAAAGTGTCAAACAATGACCACAAAAACACAGAGATAGAGGTTTTAGAAGCACGATGCTGAATTTAGCAGATAAAGGTTCAAAGGTCTGAACTTCTAACAGGTTCAGACAGGTACAGATTTTACATTGATGATTCTTATCTTTATTTTTCTTTTTAAAGAGTTTGAAAGCTGAGACGGCGCTGTAGCTTTGTCATTAGAACTGTAGCTGGACTGAATCCCAGTCCGAGGACCTTTCTGAGTTTGCATGTTCTCTCCGTGCATTCGTGGGTTTTCTCCCAGTACTCCGGCTTCCTCCCACAGACCAAAAACTTACATGTTAGGTTAACTGGTAAATTTAAAGTGTCCTTAGGTATGAGTGAGAGAATGAATGTTTATCTCGTTTGTCTCTATGTGCCCCTGTAATGGACTTGTGACCTGTCCAGGGTGCACCTCACCCCTCGCACAGTGACTGCTGGATATGAGCACCATTACCTGAAAGGAAGACGGGTAAAAAAAATAATAGATAGATGGAGGAAAGTTGACCAACTAAATAATAAACATGTTTTTTTTTCTTCTTTTTTTCCAGTTCATTACTGACAGCTCTGGACTCTGAGCAGGTCAGCTACATTTTACTGGATAGTGTAATAAATAAAAAGTCCAGCGGTCCCATCCACTGGGTCTTGACATCTAATAGTGTCCTTAGGCATTAGACTGAATCAAACATTGTGGACAAAACCATCAAACCGGGTCACAGGGAGCTGATGCCTATCTCCAGCGGTCATTGTACAAAAAGCAAGCAACACCTTGGACAGGTCACAAATCCACAATGAGATAAACAAGACAAACAACCATTCACACTCAGACTTACACCTAGGGACACTTAACAGTTGCCAGTGAACCTAGCATGCATGTTTTTGGTCCGTGGGAGGAAACTGGAGTCATCAGAGAAAACCCACATGTGGGAGAACGTGTAACCTCCACCCAAAAAGGCCTGGGAGGCAATCCTGCAACCTTCCTGTTGAGAGTAGGGCTGGGTGTTACGACTGAAAAATGTATCACAATAAGCACTTCATATCAGTCGATATAGATAATTATTGATTAGTTTTTTTGGTTTTGCTATTGGAAGTAAGGACCAGGAGAAAAAAAAAACAGATGAATACTGTCAAACTGCTGATGTGATGTTTCCTCTTTTAATCACAATTTCCTCTGGAGCTATTTCACTCATTTTCTCTTTTCACTCCACCCCATTTTATTCGATTTTATTATTTTTATTTTTAAGTAGTTTGAGACGAAACATGAAACTACTGCACATTACTCATCAGATTGTTGCTAGCTTTACAAAGAGTGGGTGAGTGAGTTAGCTCGGCTGCAAACTGAGCTCCAGGGAGGAGCTAAGTTTAAATAGGCGGAGCTTTGTATCAGTTTAGGCAGCTCCACATGGCTGCAGGAGATTCAAGGATTTCTCAAACATGCATGAATGAGTCAAAGTAACACTCTGGGCACGCTTTTGATGAGGGAATGACATTATAACACGATATTTTAAAAAAAGGGGTCAATTTTGCATAGGGCTGGGCGGTATACTGTTTTGTACCGAATACCGGTTTTTATTTTTGTTATGATATGAATTTTTTGAATACCGGACATTCTGGTTTAAATAGCGGAACATTTCGTCGCAGCCGCCAGTGAACTGTTGTTTCCCGGGGGACATTTTTCCTTGCTGCACYGCTATGTGCGTTAGCGTGCTAATGTTTGGAGCAGCTAGTTGCAGCTGCGGGTGGCGATTCCGTTGATTATATTGACTGACGTTTAAAAAAACATCCCGTTTTCGCCGTCGCTGAATGTAGTAAACACCTCTTCAGTGACGTGCACAGTTAGATTTAACACGGTTAGTTAATATGGAGACGTTATGCTGATGCAGACTTAACGTGGTTCTATTGTGAAAAGCCTGCAGGAAGTAGTTCATAGTGGAGTTGGAATTGACTGGTGTGCAGGGTGAGTCGTGCTGATAAGCTTTAATAAATAACATAAAACAATAAACCCAATCATAATCTTTTCTTAACGACTGGACCAAAATGTTTGACTACTGTCTCCAACCACCAGTCAGAGAAGAACAGACACAGAGGAGGGAAACAGCAACACAGACAGAGGTGCAGTAAAAGAAAAAAGTCAATAAGCAGGGTTTGTACATTTTATTATCAGCTGAGCTGTGATGAAAAGAAAAATACCGTCAAATACCGTGAAACCGGTGAAAATGTTGAAAATACCGTGATATAAAATTTTGATCATATCGCCCAGCWCTAATTTTGCATAACACCTCCCCAGTTCAAGTTTGATTTCTTTGTACTCTTTTCATTTGAATTAATGATTTAAATAATTTACAAACCATTGCACCGTTTTCACTTTTTAAGATACATAGTTGTGAGTGTAAATTAACAACATGCTACCATAAACATGGGATTAAGCTTTGGGTGTTTAAAATGAAAAAAAAAAAAAAAAAAAAAAAACCTAACAGATGGGAAGCAGAAGGCCAGCAAAAATGCTGTGTCATTGTTACCTTGCAATTCTTTATGTTTTGATTTTAAAACTACAAAACAGTAGTCTTTTATGGCTCCATTTGTAGAGCAAATCCAAAAACCGAGTAACTTACCTGAGATATGAGTGTCCTAACGACCTACAGAACTCTTCCAGAGACTCAGCCTTCTGTCCATTCATGTTGGAGGCATATCCTGGCAGATAAACCACACCTGGGCTTTTCCCCTTCACTCTCCTGTAAGCCAGCTTCGGAAGGTCTGGTCGTGATGCATACTGAACTGATGATTTGTGTCTCCTGTCTCCTAAAAACACAGTTATCAGTGCTGATTTTAGGATGACATAACTGCAGACAACAGATAATCATCAAATCCTTCAAACATGCCATAAAAAAACACCTAAGAGAAGCTAATTAACTCGTGAAAGTTTAAGAATATACGAAGATGTCTGTTTTATAGGACTGTAGTTTCCATCATGCCCTAATTTTTTTTTTTTTTAAGAACGACGTATTCGCCACACCCCCTCCTCGTGCGTGTTTCATAACATCCGACTATCCTTCGAGCGATACGAAATGAATTCAGTCACAAACACACACTTCCGACAAACCTTGTAGTCGCGATGAAGACAAAGCCGCAACCCCGCCATTACTTAAAAATTGTGAAATCCCTTTGCGGCAGGACCTCAGCGACAAGGCTGCCATATTGCTCCACGGACACCGACGAAGTATCGCGAGAGAAGCAACTATCGCGAGAGCAGCAGCGCTCTTACCCAAGAAACCGTAGAAATAAATACCGCGAAGCACAGCGGTTGATATAATAACACGACCTCGCTACGACGTGAACAATTAGCCCGAACRTGGTTGGTCCTTGTAGGATTTTGGCAGAATCTTCCGGGTCGTATTAAGAACGCAGTGGGCGTGACAGAGCGTGAACTAACATCATTGCGACGATAGGATCCTGGAGGAGAGCGTGAACCACGCGTGCACGGGCGTTGTTTTGGTCTTAGATAAAACTGAAGCAGGACTCATGCCTAAACTATGACCAAGTGTGTATGGTGAACCTATCACGCCCCCATCACGCTGGCTCATGTAAGTTATTGCAGCTCACCAGCCTTGGATCACTACCACACGACTTTAACGACCAATCCACAGTCTTCACGTACCAATAATCACCAAGGTGTCCTTCATTCACCTTCTCGCTTGCTGTCATTATGGTCAGGCCTTCTGGACGACCACCGAAAACCTCGTCACCTGAGTTCTCTAATGCTATTCGTTTCCAGAAGGGAGCTGGTGCTGGTTCCAATCACCCTTGTCCCACAGAGGACTCTAACAATGGGTCCACTCCTAAGAGGCAGAGGAAGGAGAAGGTGACGGCCATGCTGACAGAGGAGGAGGAACAGTCCATGGTTGAGTGGCTGGTCAGTAACCCCATCCTCTACAACCGTAAGTTGAAAAATTACAAACACACGAGCAGGAAGGAGGCATTGTGGCGGGAAAAAGCGGAGGAGGTTGGGAAGGACGTCCTCATACTGAAGACCTGGTACACCAGTCTGCGCACCAGGTACGGCCGCCTGAAGAAGCTCTGCGCCGGGCAGGAGTCCCCCGAGCTGACAGAGCGCGACTTCTGGATACTCGGATGCTTTGAGTTCTTGAGACCGCACATTATTGAGATCCAGAGGAGGAGAAGGGTCAGTCTGAGTTGTGTGCACACCTCTCCATTTTTCAATATTTATAATTTTAATGAAATAACTACCTTGTGAATTTTTTTCAATTTGTTMTAGAGGAAGGAAAAAGTTGGCGTCAGTGTTGATGACACCCCCCCTATTGAAGATGACCTCGGTCATGACGCTGATGAGGTTGATGCCGATCCACCTGCTACCCACCTTGAGTCAGTTAAACTCCAGCCTGTGTCTCCGCTGAGCAGCACCTCCAGCACCAAACCATCTACTGCTACCTGTGGCAGAGGGGTGGCAGCTGACGAGGAGGATGAGACCCTGCTCACGAGCCTCTGTGAACGCCCACAGCACTTCCTGACCATGCAGCAGCAGCAGCAGCAGCTCCACGGTCTGCTCAGACCAGAAGATGAACGGGAACGTGACGCATTCGCGGAGTGGCTCAGGTCAGCCATGCGAAACTTTGAGCACTCTGTTTGGAGGCGGAGCCAGCGTGAGCTCACCGACGTAATGTACCGCTTCATTGCTGAGAACGATGCTCTGAGGATCAAGAAACAGCCTCCGTGTTCGTCCTCTGCTGGTCCAACTAGCTAAGCTACAGCTAACCTGCAGGATTCAACCACCCAGGTGTATCAGCAGGTTTCTGCCAAGCTCCACGGTGGCAGCCTGGACCGCAGTACTGGCTTGATACTGTGCACAGGCTCTGTGAACACGTCTTGGGCCCAGTAGCAGTTGCAGGTAAAGCAATCAACCTCAAGTTCACTCTGTGTCATCAACCCAGGGTAGCAGCACTCTAACCAGCACAACTGCACAGTACTGTAGAGCAGCGTTCATCCTTTCTGCAGGGGTCGCCACAGGAAGCAAATGCTCTTCCTGATATAACCTGGGCTTCCAGATTATGAGACTGTGGGACTGACCACYGATGTACACGGCTCCATGGAGCAGAGTATTCAGATGAAACTGTAGTAATGCTTTTAAAAAACTAACCTTTTTCATTAAGACATATACTGTATTTCAAAAGAATGTTTGTATTCTCAAATCAAAAGTTTAATATAAACATACACAGATTTTCAACTTTTACTTTTTTTGAATATTTTTTTGATCCTTTGAAGTGAGTTTTTAATGGTTTAAAAGCCCTCCTGACAGAACAATGTCCTGTACAAAAACACTGTCACASAATTGAGTGTTCAATACAAATGATTTCTTTTACTTGTTATTTTATGGTTTATTTAAATTAAAGGCAACATGGAGGACTTGTATTTGCCAGATCATCTTTAACATCTGGCTGGTGTTGGCATGCAATMTTTGTGAAGACAATTTTCTTTAATGCAGAATGAATCTGACATTTTAAAATATTTGAAATATGAGAATCAAACAGAACAGGTGAGCTATATAATAAAACATAACGGAATGTAATCCCACATGTAGTAAATTAATTMTGACAACATAGACAAATTCCTTGAATATTTTTTTACATATACATTTTATTATAATTGTTTCTATTTGTAACATGATTATAATCCCTTTTAGTGTGGTCAGTGCTCGTACAATTTACATGATGCTGTCATTTGGATTAAACATGAAATTTTAACTTGTTAATTTTATGGCAAAATATAAGTTTTAGTGGTACATAATGGATAATATTTAAAGCTTAAACTTTGCTACTTTCCACTACTACTTATAAGAATGTATTAAAGTTTGTTATTATGCAGTTCTTTATGAATAAATAACTGAATTATCCTTAATATTAAATATTTAAATGAAGAAAAACTATAAAATAAAAAAAAGAAAATGGTTTAAATCTTAAAACACAACTCCCAATCAGTGCAAAACTGTCATTGTTTGATGGTTTATGAGCAGAGTTATAAAGTAACTACGTACAAATACGTTAATGTACTTAAGTAGTATTTTTGGATATCTGTATTTGAGTAATTATTGTTCAGCCTACTTTTTACTTCTACTTACATTTTCACACAATTATCTGTATTTTCTACTCTTTACATTTTTTAAAAAGGCAAAAAATTAGAAAGTCATTACTTTTATTTCATTTTTGCTTGTTTTCATTCCAGCTTGTTATTCAAAAAAATAAATACTATCCATATAAATTGTTCCTCCTAGATGGAGTGAATTTAATTGTGGTTGA